GGAGCCTCTCCGGGGCTGGAGACACAATAGTGCCTGTTTGCTGCAAGAGCAGGGCAGCCGTGGGGTGGGCAGCGGCGCGGGGAGGGACGTGGGGGGCTCATCTGCGAGAGGGGACATGCACGGGATGGAAGATGGAGCCGGGGTGGGAAGGGTGAGGGGGCTCAGCTGGGACCGCGAGTGGCCCCAGGCTCAGGGACCCTCCTGGCACGGTAGGAAGCATCACCAGGGTTCTATCCCCAGGTCCCCTGGCCACTGGAAGGACAGAGGGGACATGTGCCACCTGCAGCATCACCAGCACAGCGGGGAGGGAAGCAGTAGAGCAGCTTTGGGAGACCAAGAGGAAAATTACCCCAAATCCAGTTTTTTTCTGCCCAGGTTCCTGCTCCTGCAGCCTTTCCCCAAAGTCAGCAAATCCAAGGACGGACCCACCCGCAGCCCCCACCCCGCGCTGGGTCCGACTGGGAACAGCATGGACACCCCCGAGCAGCTGGGAAAAGGGCCCGGCATGGGACCCCAATGTCCCCAGAGGGGTCTGGATGGAACAAGATGGGTCCCCAACCAGCCCTGGGCCTCAGCATCACTCAACCCCACGGCTGCTCTCCCACGCACTGAGCACCAGAGCAAGCCCCTGTGATCCCCAGAAGGGGCCGGGATGGGACCATTGACCCCGACTGCTGCCTCCAGCTCCCGGTCCCCGCATGCCCCCACGTCCCTGCCTGGCTCTGCCTTCTCCATCGCCCAAACCTCCACCCCTCATCGCTTCCTTCAAGGCTGCTCCACAAATATAATAACATTAATATAATAAAGGGGTTTTGGTAACAGGGAGAAAAAGCACCAAAGCCACCAAGAAAAGTCAGCATGGTGGCTGGAGAGGACCAGGGCCAATCCTTTCAGCAAGATGCCACCTCCTCCTCTCCATCAGCCTCTGCATCTGGGTTGCAAATGACCCTGCTGAGCATGAGGAAGGGGAGGAAGGATGAGAAGAGGTCTTTCCTCAGTTCATTTATCACTCCCAGTTTGTCTCCCAGCGGGTGCATCTCTGCCGGGCACCCGGGCTGGGGTAAGACTGTGGCTGGAGAGGGAGAAGAGGGTTAAATCTGCATGGGGACATCCCGTAAGTCCTCAAGACTCCACAGGGATGAGCAGACGGCTGGCAATGGCACACCACTGCCGAGGACCTCATCCCCA